TAGGGTATGACACTAAGGTAGGAGAGAAGTTCTAGGGTATGACAGTGGATGTATGTGCAGGAGAGAAGTGCTAGGGTATGACACACTAGGCAGTATTTGTAGGAGAGAAGTTCTAGGGTATGACAGTGGGTAGTATGTGTAGGAGAGAAGTGCTAGGGTATGATGGTGGGCAGTAAGTGTAGGAGAGAAGTGCTAGGTATGACGGTAGGCAGTATGTGTAGGAGAGAAGTGCTAGGGTATGACGGTGGGCAGTATGTGTAGGAGAGAAGTGCTAGGGTATGACGGTGGGCAGTATGTGTAGGAAAGAAGTGCTAGGGTATGACGGTGGGCAGTATGTGTAGGAGAGAAGTTCTAGGGTATGACAGTGGGTAGTGTGTGTAGGAGAGAAGTGCTAGGGTATGATGGTGGGCAGTAAGTGTAGGAGAGAAGTGCTAGGGTATGACGGTGGGCAGTATGTGTAGGAGAGAAGTGCTAGGGTATGACGGTGGGCAGTATGTGTAGGAGAGAAGTGCTAGGGTATGACGGTGGGCAGTATGTGTAGGAGAGAAGTGCTAGGGTATGACGTGGGCAGTATGTGTAGGAGAGAAGTGCTGGGTATGACGGTGGGCAGTATGTGCAAGAGAAGTATGCAGAGGGTATGCAAAACTATTTTGTAGCCAGCACTAGGTTTTGCTGCTGACTGTCAGCAAGAATTATTCTGTCAGCAACCCTGTTTGAGGTGGAAGAGTGGGTCTGTGAAACAGCAGGCTGGGAAGGCTATCTGATTTGGGAAGGGGGAATGCAAAGGGGTTGAGAAAGGATGCCCAAGTACTGTGTAGTGGTGATTTTGAAGAGATTACTGAGGGAACTGAGGAGTGTTAAGGTAATTGAGGGAGAATAGGTGATAGAAAGCTGGGAAGGGATTTCTGTCATCAGAGGGACATTAATCAGCAGGTGGGGTGTGGGGAACTAGGGAATGATGTCTGTATGTGGGGGGCAACTGGAGAATTATGTCTTTTTGTGAGGGAGTCAGTAGGGGAGTGACGTTTTTCAATCTGTGAGGTGAACGGGAAGGGATGTTGGAAAAGTGGTGGGGTGTCCATAGAATGATGTCTGTTATCTGGGAGGCAGAATGTAGCTAGGAGTGATGCCTGGCAGCTGGAAGTGTGAAGTGGCCTCTGAGTGATGTAAGCTGGGGGGAGCTGGGGGCCTCTGGAGTGGTCAGATAGTGATATATGCCAACTTAGAGTGGAGGTGGGAAGTGGCTGGGGAATGACAGCCTGGGTGGGGGTGGATGTGGAATAAGTGATGTGTGTCAGCCTTTGGCCCCTGGCACACTGGGGTGCTAAATTTCAGTGTGCCCCTTTAACACCCTGGAGGGACAATTGCTGCATCTGGCCCTTTTGTAAGCAGCCTGTCAATGTCTTTGAAAGGCTGCTGCTGGCTGAAACCTGTGCCAAATGGTACCCTGTTTAGGGCCCCGTCCATTTAGCGATGAGGTCCTGGAATGCAGAAGACCCGCTGAAGATGCTGCACGGGAGAAATAGAGAAGCAAGCATCCTCAGGAAGGGAAGCATTAGAACAGGGGTGCCCAACCACTGGCCCTCTGATATGGCCCACAACCTCCTGCTCTAGGATGGCGGGTCAGCAAGCCCAGATCGAAGGTTCCTGGCCCGCCATCCCAGAGCCTCAGTATTCTGAATGGAATTGGCGCTAAAGGAAGCACGGCTGTGAAGGGAGCAGAGCCGCAGAAGCTGATATCAATTGCACTCCACCTGGGACAGCAACAGCAGGAAAAATCTGTAGCAAGGGAGATTTCTGAATGGAAGTTTATTATTAAAGGTCAGTTTATATTCTTAAATCTCAGTGTATATAAGGGCATATCTCTTCTGCAATGGTCATTTAAACCTGCGGTTTACTTGCACTGAGCCATAGACTTCTGTTAATACCTACAAGTTTGGTGTGCTTTCTGAAAGCACACTAAAACTCCTGAATGCAGGAGTTTTGGTAAAATTTCAGAAAGTGCACCACACCTGCAAGATATAACAGAAGTCTATGGCAAAGTGCAGCTAACCAGAAAGCCACAGGTGTACTGCACTGCACCCACAGTGTGGGTAAACCGCAGCGCATCAGTGTGAAATCAGCCTTAGATGCCTATAACATGATCCATCCGATCAGGTCTGCTTGTCCATTTTTCAGGCGGACCTAATCGGACCCTCTGTTCACCTCTATGGAGCGCCAGATGTAAATGGACTTTACACCCATCTACCTCCAACCCAATCTGCCAAAAAAAAAAAAAAAAAACAGAAGGGGATCTGTTCTGTCCCCTTCTATCTGGGTGGATCAGGTCAGAGGAACAATAGAGTAGAGCGGGCTGTGATACGGACCTGTAATTAGCCCACTCTGCTCATTGTCCACCACTTACCAAGTCACATAAGTGGCCCTTGCTCTTCAAAAGGTTGGGTACCCTTGCCCTAAAAGAAAGTGGATAATATTGTGCAGCGCTACCCCCCCTAGGAGTCATTGACTTTTGGGTCCCCCTAAAGCTCTGAACAGCCAGGTAGTACGCATTTCCTTCCACACTTTGCCCACTGGAGTCAGTAAACAGTCCTTGAGCTTGGTTTTGTGATTTTATTTTTATAACTTATTTTTATTGAGGGGTGTATGGGATGCCCAAGGACATTGCAAACTTGAGGATAAACTCCTTAGCAACTATGTGCAGATGTGGACAAAAATAGTCTCTCCTTTAAGAGCATTCCAGCTCTGTGGTGTACCTCCTCAGACCCCAGATGATTCCTCCTCTTCACCCACTGAGGGAATTCCCTGTCAAGGGACCCAGAAACTACCTGTTTAACACAGCATCCCAGATGAGAAGCTAGTTGGGATTTCCCCCTTGACTGTCCTCTCCTCGTATGCGGCCCAGGATGGATGAGAGTACTCACACTGTCCTTCCTGATAGCTTAATGGGTTGGTGGTTGCCCCCAGGCCTTTCACTGGGCTGGCTCCTTCCCTGCTGCTCAGGATATCCTCCCTTAAAGACGGTGGTACAGTGGAGATCCTATTCTTCAGCACCAGATTGTAATTAGGCCCCTTCCCTGGGCCCCCTCCCAGACTCCATACTCCAGCCTCTCACTCCATCTTCCACCTGCCACTGCCCTGCCACTGCCAGGTTCTGTGATTCTTAAGGGTTGCCTTGGTCACCATGCCCAGCCTCCTGCCAGGGGATTGGCCAAGGTCCCTTACGAATGCATGTCTGAGCTTCCTCCCCTCCTCCAGCAAAAGCTGCCAGGTTTCTGGAGAGATGGGAGGGCTTCAGAAGCATCGGCAGAGAGGGGTGGCAGATACAGAATGGTTAGTAAGGTGGATGAGTCTGGCAGCAGCATTCATGATAGACTGAAGAGGGGATAGCCTGTGATGAGGTCGGCCAATGAGGAGGGAGTTACAATAGTCAAGCCGAGATATAAAGAGTGATTAAGTTGCTTAGTGGTTTCCGAGGTTAGGAATGGGCGTATCTTGGAGATGTTGCGGAGGTGAAGTCTACAAGATTTGGACAGCGATTGGATTTGGGGCTGAAAGGACAGATGGGAGTCTAAGATTACACCTAGTACCCTGGCATGAGGGGAGGGAATGATGATTGTGTTATTGATCTTGATGGAGAAGTAAGGGGGGGGGCACGGGCTGGGGGGAATACTAAGAGCTCAGTTTTGGAAAGATTGAGTTTGAGGAAGTGGAGCGACATCCGTGCCGATATGTCACTTAGTAGGTTAGTAATGCGAGACTGAAGGGGTGAGGTGAGGAGTAGAAAGATAGATAGATTTGTGTGGCATCAGCATAGAGATGGTACTTAAAGCCATGGGAGTTTATCAATGACTAAGGGAGGACGTGTCGATGGAGAAGAGAAGGGGTCCAAGGACAGAACCTTGAGGGACCCCTACAGAAAGAGGGAGTAAAGAGGAGGATGCAGCGTTATAGGTAATGCTGAAGGAGCGCTGTGATAGATAAGAGTCCATGAGCTTGGTTTTGTTGTTTTAGTAGGGGAAATCAACTTGGATAGGGAAATAGGGATTAGGGGATGCCCAGTTAGCTTGAATCGATGAAGGGGGAACCTTTCCCTCCTATGTATAAAGGCTGATCCCGAACTGTTCTTTTCTTGAAAGCTGTCAGTCATTAGCAACAGCCTTTTATGGCCGAGGATCTAGCAGCCCCTCAAAAATCAGCTTAACTTCTCGAAACTACATGCAGGGATGCCTTCTCTCCCCCTGTAGAGCTGCTCCCAGCTCCACATCCTCCTGAGCCAGCCCAATCCCAGCCTGTAGGCTGACCCCCCCCCCCCCTTAGGGGACCCCTCCGAGGCATTGACAATCTCCTCAGTAACTCCATATTCCACCCAACTCCTCTCAGCCTGACTCTCTCATATTTATGGGTCACCAATCTACCAGGGCTTCCTAACCTGAGATTGGCTAGACTCCCATGAACATGCAGATTAGGTCTCCACCGCTTTCTGCTCACCGACTTCTGGAATGTTTTATAGTCCTCCAGTGTCAGGAGGAGGTTATAGAGCCACAATCTATTGAGTCATCCAGCTGACCTGCAGTAACCCGACCTTAATCACAGACTCAAACATTTACTATGAGTCCTACACAATGATTTCACCTACAATTCACTACACTATTCTAGTAGCACACTAGAGGATGCTACATAAGAATATATGTAATGGATACGTTTTTAAAAATTGGTTGATCATTTTTATTTCTAATGACCAAGACAATAAAATAAAAAGGTTGGTTTTAAAAGGAGATGTGAAATTATGTTATTAGACTATCAGTTTACTCATGGGTACATTTAAAGCCTCCTGATTCTTGTGGTGGGTGCCATTCATTTAGACAAGAATTACCATATTTTTCGCTCCATAGACACACTTTTTTTTCCCCCCAAAAAAGGGGGGAAAATGTCAGTGCGTCTTATGGAGCGGCCGGTCCGGTATTTCCAATGCCGCCGTGTCAGAATACTGGGCTGGCCGCTCAGCTCTGCAGCGGGACCTCTTGGAGATGACTGCTGAGCTTTGGGGAGGTGGGGAGCGGGTACCTGAATTTGACAGGTATCCGCTCTTACTTCCGCGAAGTTGTTCTTTGACCTTACCTGTTCCTCTATCCAGCGGCACGCTGTCTTCCCAGCTTCTGTAGTGTGGGCGCTGGGCTTGACAGCCGGGTGCCAAGTGCGCATGCGCAAGAAGCGGTGCTTTTTGTGAATGGTAAGGCGGTACGGTACCTGGGACACTGACAGATCCCAGAAGCCGCCGGACCAATCACAAAGCGCAAGTGCTTCTCGCTCATGCGCACTGGGCACCCGGCTGTCATGCCGAGCGCCCACACTACAGAAGCCGGGAAGACAGCGCGCGGCTGGATAGAGGAACAGGTAAGATCAAAGAACAACTCCGCGGAAGTAAGAGCGGGTACCTGTCAAATTCAGGTACCCGCTCCCCCCCTCCCCAAAGGTCAGCAGTCATCTCCTGTACTGTCCGCAGTCTCTGGTCATCCCTGTGCTGTCTGCAGTCTCTGGTCATCCCTGTGCTGTCTGCAGTCTCTGGTCATCCCCTGTGCTGTCCGCAGTCTCTGGTCATCCCTGTGCTGTCCGCAGTCTCTGGTCATCCCTGTGCTGTCCGCAGTCTCTGGTCATCCGTGTGCTGTCCACAGTCTCTGGTCATCCCTGTGCTGTCCACAGTCTCTGGTCATCTCCTGTACTATGTCTGCAGTCCATTAGTTCAGAATTTTTTTTTTTCCTGTTTTCTGCCTCTAAAACCTAGGTTCGTCTTATGGTCAGGTGCGTCTTATGGAGCGAAAAATATGGTAGGTGCTCAAAACCAGATAAATGGTACAAGTCATACCAGAAAAGAATAGCACCAAGAGAAAAAAATGGAGATGGATAAGGTGGAAAACATAGGTGCTCAACTCTACCCAAAACCAGATAAATGGTGCAATTAATACTAGAAAAGAATGGCACCAAGGGATTATACAAGAGACGGATAAGGTGCACTTTCAATAGTATATTTAACAGAAGAAAAATGAACTAAGAAGAGTAGTTCATTGTTAGGGTTAATCTTCACTTTAAAATCAGTTGGGCAAGAACAGCTTTTACATTCCTATCTTCACAGGTTGTTTTCTGATAAGTCCTGAGCCTTCCAGGACCAAATAACTGGCACAGCTTGGAGTTTCCCTGTGCAGACGTTTACCTGTTTTTCCAAATGTTGATAATAATCTTCGATTCAGCTACAGAAAAATATGTCTTTTAAAAGGTTCTGGAATAAATCAACGCTGTGTGGAAGCTTGGAGTGATTTCTCCACATTAGCCGGTTATTACAAGCATTCTGTCATTTGGCAGTCCCTGCCACTTTTAGCATATTGCAGCCTCGTCGCTCTCACCCACAGTACTTGGCAGTAATGGCTCTTCTTGATTTCTGTCGGTGAAGATATTGATGGCTCATGATGTGATGTCCCTGCTGGCACTGATGCAAAGTTGTGAACTAGTAACAGAAATCAGAGCCAAGGCTGGCTGCCATCCAGCAGACTGATTATCTGCTTTTATCCATTTACTAGCAATAAACAAATGCATCAAGATATCATTAGTGACAAAATTAGTGCCAGGCGACAGGTAACTAAAAAGGGTGGCTTTAAAGCTGAACTTCCAGCACAAAAACCAGACAGCAGCCAGGACAGTGCTGCATCACAGGGGGGGGGGGGGGGGGGGGGGGTAGGAGCAGGACTGCTGTTAAAAACCACAGGGCCCTATACAGCCAATCTGGCAGGGCCCCCCAACAAAAAAAAACAGTTTACTATACTTCAATTATGAATGAACACAGCAAGTGATCAGTACTGATCACTCATTGTGTTCATTCAGGACAGGAAGGGGCTGGTAAATGTGACATATCTACTGGAACCTTCCCCCCACTCTTCATCCTGAAGGATCCTATTGTCCTAGTGCCTGCAGCTGACAGTGGGAAGGAAAGGAGGGTAGCCGGCAGCACTGTGGGGGTGGGGGCCTGGGCAGAATGGGGGAAACATATGGTACACAAGGAGGGTGTTGTGGGGCAATTACTAAAGCCAATCCCCTGTATGGCTCTCTCTGCAGCAGCTGAAAGCTGATGGGTGGGAGAGGAGAAGAAGATAGCTTTAGGCTGCTGCAGAGAGAGTCATACATGGAATTGGCTCCTGTAATCGCCCCTCCGCTGTTCTGATCACCCTCCCTGCCTACATCTGATTCACCCAGCTACCTGGGCCCCCCTGCTGGCCTGGGCCCCCAACAAGAATACTGGTGGTACCCCCTTATCCACGGCCCTGGGTAGGAAGAACAATTAGTGGGGAGTCATTTACGTTAAGGCAAGAATGCATTAAAATGGACCTAAACAACTAAACCCATCAATTTAATTGTTTCAAAACCACTTACATTCCCGGCATGCTGAGATTACTAACTGTTACATTGTTTGTGCTCTCAACCAAACTGACAACCCATCAAATGGCTGGTGTCATAACTGACCACATGTGTATCATCAAAACAGTTGCAAATCAAACAGAGGCTAAGATGGCAGCTTCCTTGGCTGAAAAGGATAGGAGGGTTTAGTTCCCCTTTAAGGTAAACACTGTTAGACTTTGGAAACACTTTAAGGCATAAATAAAGTCTCAATACTTACCTGTCTAACGGTCTTGCCTTGGCATTGTCTTCTAAATGCCGGTCTTCAGGCCGCTTCATTGGCCAGTGAGGGATGATGTCACTCCTGCGCATGTGCATAATCACATCACTTGGAGACCGGCCCAGCACTATAAGCCGAGCTACGCAATATACAGTACCAGAGGAGACAGAGAGCAGAGAGGTAGGGGCATTTTATTGCAGAAAAAACAGCGCATGTCTCTTCTGCAGTAAGAGCCTTTCTGCTCACAGTTTTTTACAGTGGGACTTGAGGTTAGTTTTAAAGCAGAACGCCAGGGATTTTTTTTTTTTGCATAGTTAGAGTATATATATATATATACAGTGGGGATCGAAAGTTTGGGCACCCCAGCTAAAAATTTGTATTAATGTGCATAAAGAAGCCAAGGAAAGATGTAAAAATCTCCAAAAGGCATCAAATTACAGATTAGACATTCTTATAATATGTCAACAAAAGTTAGATTTTATTTCCATCATTTACACTTTCAAAATAACAGAAAACAAAAAAATGGCGTCTGCAAAAGTTTGGGCACCCTGCAGAGGTAATATCTTGTACTGCCCCCTTTGGCAAGTATCACAGCTTGTAAACGCTTTTTGTAGCCAGCCAAGAGTCTTTCAATTCTTGTTTGAGGTATCTTTGCCCATTCTTCCTTACAAAAGTCTTCCAGTTCTTTGAGATTTCTGGGCTGTCTGTCACGCACTGCTCTTTTAAGGTCTATCCATAGATTTTCAATTATGTTGAGGTCAGGAGATTGTGAAGGCCATGGCAAAACCTTCAGTTTACGCCTCTTGATGTAATCCCCCGTGGATTTCGAGGTGTGTTTAGGATCATTATCCATTTGTAGAAGCCGTCCTCTCTAACTTCAGCTTTTTCACAGATGGCATCAAGTTACCATCCAAAATTTTATTGAATCCATTTTTACTTCTACTCGTGAGATGTTCCCTGTGCCACTGGCTGCAACACAACCCCAAAGCATGATTGATCCAACCCCATGCTTAACAGTTGGACAGAGGTTCTTTTCATTAAATTCTGTGCCCCTTCTTCTCCAAACGTACCTTTGCTCATTCCAGCCAAAAAGTTCAATTTTAACCTCATCGGTCCACAGAACATGTTTCCAAAATGCATCAGGCTTGTCTATATGTTCATTTGCAAAGTTCAAACGATGATTTTTGTGGTGAGGACGTAGAAGAGGTTTTCTTCTGATGACTCTTCCATTGAAGACCATATTTGTACAAGTATCTCTTTATAGTGGAATAGTGTACCACAACTCCAGTGTCTGCCAGATCTTTCTGGAGGGATCGTGCAGTCAAACGTGGGTTTTGAATTGTTTTTCTCACAATCCTGCGAGCTGTTCTGTCTGATATTTTTCTTGGTCTTCCAGATCTTGCTTTAACTTCCACTGTTCCTGATGACTGCCATTTCTTAATTACATTCCAAACAGAGGATATTGACATCTGAAAACGCTTTGCTATCTTCTTATAGCCTTCTCCAGCTTTGTGAGCATCAACTATTTTCAGTTTCAGTTTTTTAGACAACTGCTTAGAAGAACCCATGGTGCTGATTGTTGGGGCAAGGTCAGATGAGTCTGGGCATTTAAAACCTTTGAGATTGACATCACCTGGTCTTCCCAGACGATGATTGAGAACAATCCATGACACTGGCAGGTCTCAGCTTGGCAAAGGGGGCAGTGCATGCTATAAATTCTGTAGGGTGCCCAAACTTTTGTAGACGCCATTTTTTTGTTTTCTGTTATTTTGAAAGTGTAAATGATGGAAATAAAATCTAACTTTTGTTGACATATTATAAGAATGTCTAATCTGTAATTTGATGCCTTTTGGAGATTTTTCCATCTTTCCTTGGCTTCTTTATGCACATTAATACAACTTTTTAGCTGGGGTGCCCAAACTTTCGATCCCCACTGTATGTGATTTTGCATTTCCGAGTAGGGGGCATGCACTAGCAGTGCACGTGCCCTACCTGCACCGCTATTCGCAGCCTCGGTTGTCAATCACCAGGTCTCAGACGGTGATTACTTGCTGGCACCCAGTGATCGCAGAGCATTACCGATGGAGGGAGAGAACTGTATGTAAACAATACAGTTCTCTCCCCTGTCAGCTCCTGCACACTGCTTTGCCTGGTTCTGCATAGCACAGCCAGGCAAAGCAGTGTGCTTACAATTGAAAGCACTAACACAGCCCCCATAGTAAAACAGCACACAGTTAACCCTTCGATCATCCCACATGTTAACCCCTTCCTGCCTAGTGCCATTAGTGCAGTGTCAGTGCTTTTTATTAGCACTGATCACTGTATTGGTGTCACTGGGGATGTCAGTGACACCAAGTCAGTTCCCCCCAATGTCAGAATGCCTGCCGCAGTCCCGCTATAAGTCACTGATCGGCACTACTAGTAGAGAAAAGAAAAAAAAATTCCCAGTATATATACCGCCATTTGTAAACACTATAACTTTCATGTAAACCAATTAATTTGCACGTATTGGGATTTTTGTTTTAGCAAAGACATGTAGCAGAATACATTTTGGCCTAAATTTATGATGAAGTTTGATTTTTAAAATTTTTTTTACTGGACAGTTTGACCTCCCTGTCAATATTTTTGAATGACGAAGTGGTACATTGTTTCGCATGGAAATTTGTTGTTTTCTATTGTAGGTCTGTAATTCTTAGGAATAACTGGCTTAAATCTGTCCAAACAAGAGACTAGTAAACATCC